ACAAATTAAAATTTTCATTAATTTTATTAAGATATCTTAGATATAAGTTAATTATATAATTAATATAGGTATTAATTATTAAGTTATATAAAAGAATAGAACCAACCCATTAGACTTAATGGTTCCACCCCAAATCCCCCCAAATCTTAAAGTGTTTGGGTGAAATGGTCGGTTTCAAGTTTCACCACCGTTTTAAAAACTTCCTACCCCATCCCTAAATTGTACATTTTTCAAAAAAAAAAAAGTTATATAAAAGAATAAGTTTTGTAATTTTTATTAATGACTCAATAAAAAAAAAAAAAAAAAAAAACCCCTTATATAACTTAATAATTAATACCTATATTAATTATATAATTAATATAGGTATTAATTATTAAGTTATATAAAAGAATGAGTTTTGTAATTTTTATTAATGACTCAATAAAAAAAATAAAAAATAAATACCCCTTAACTTGTCGTTATCGGTTAGGAATCCGTTCATTTCATTGTTTGGTTGAGGTGAGGCACCGCAAGTCTCCCCAATTCAGCTGCGCACCGCCGTATCAAAACGTATATTTCTAATATTTCGGCCAATCACATGCCATTTGCGTGTTCACAACAGAAAAAAATGCATGCCCGACTAATCTGACAGTCTTTTAGACTGTTAAATTTTCTGTTAATACAGTCATACTCCACACCGGCATCGCCACTGCTACAACCGGAAACCGATGGCGGCAGCAGCAGCAGCAGCAGGAACTGGAGCTCTTGTGTTTTCTTCCCCCTTCTCGCCTGTTCGTCTTCGTCGTCTAGAGACCAGCTGGAGACCGATTCGACTTTCAGCTGTATCATCAACAGAGACGCCAAATACGATAAAAACGACCACGACTTCTAGGGAGAACGGAAGGCCGAGGTCGGAGAAGACGGGGAAAGAGGAAACCGAGAGGAGAGTGATTGATTACTCGAATCCGGAGCCGGAGCCGGAGCCGGAGCCGAGGAAGAGATTAAAGGATTTCTTTCAAGAGTGCCATGAGTTGATCAGATCGGACGGCGGTGGTCCGCCCCGCTGGTTCTCGCCCTTGGAGTGCGGGTCCCGCGATCCAAAATCTCCTCTCCTCCTCTTTTTACCTGGTTTGTCTTTTTTACTACTACTACTACCTTTTTTATTTTCTCTAAAATTAATTTCATTTAAATTATAGGTTTCTTCGCCTATTAATACTTTAAAAATAATAAAAAATATAAAAATTAAAAAATAAAATATTAAAAAATATTGTGAAGCGAAGCGGAGAGGTCAAATTCTAATCCCATTTAGGTCTCGCTTTGCACTGTGTGATGGTACTATGAGTAAAGAGGAGTGCTAGGGAAACTCGCCTCCTGCACTCTCCGGCCAACACTTTCACTTTTATTGGGCCACGTTATTCTGCTAGGTAAGAGGTTGCACTGAAAAGTCTGAAACAAGCTTACGTGGCCCAATGAAAAGGGAAGTGTTGTCCGGAGAGTGCAAGAGGCGAGTGCCCCTAGCATTGCTCATGAGTAAATAGACAATCAGTAATGCAATTAGTTGCCTTTTAGTCCATATGATGAACGTTTCATTGCTTCCCGCTCAGCCGCCAGCTTTTACCTTCTTTTTTCTTTTTTTCTTTTTTTTCTCTTAATTATGTGTGATAAAGTACTGGTAGAATAGTACCACTGCCCCTTTTTTTTATTTTTTGCCCATCTTAAAATTATTTGGCAATCAACAAGGAATCACTACCTTTTTGAGATTATTGGTATTTGAAAAAAAAATTTTGATCTTTATTTAATCAATTAAAATTATTCATATATCATTACTGTATAATTAGTATTAAATTTTGTAATTTTCAATGTAAATTAATGTAAAAAAATGTGTATTAATTGAATTTATAGACAAACCCTAAAAAAATTACTATAAATTTAGATTGTCAGTTTGATGGTTAGAAATAACTTTTAATAAAAAGTTAGAGCTATAAATGGGTTAAGTCAAGTTGCTTATAACTTTTAAATACTCAATATATTCAAAATTAGATTAAATTTAAGATTTAAAATTAATTAAAATTAAACTTTTAAGTATTTAATACATGATTTTTTTTTATACAATTAAGTGAGTCAAGTTTAAATTTCAACTTGAGCTCAACTTAATTTAATTTTTTAGTGTAGTTTTTTACTGGAGTTTAAGTAGAATCGAATCCAAGTCAAATTGCTTTTGAGGAACTCAGTTTATTTATATATTCTTATTAATAGCGGATAGAATAATTGATATTTATTATTAAAAGTTTAAAATTAGCCTAAATGTTAATGTTATCAAATAACCTTAATTACCACCTATTTAAGAGAAAAAAAAAAAGAAAAAGAAAAAAGGAGAGAGAGGCTATAATCTACAAAATAAGCCAAATCAAATACACCCTTACTAATACAAGCTATAGAACACAACAATCTTTGCATTTAGCCCTGTTGAACAACGTATAGCTGATTAGAGATATCCGATGGATGATATTTGTTTTTAGTTTATAATTTAAACACTTTCAACTTTTCTCAAAGACTAAAACCAAAGCAACCAAACTAAGCCTTATTTATTAAATCATATCACAACGTAAAATCTTTCTATTTGGCACTGTTTTGTTCTGCTTTTTTTTAAAAAAAAAATTTAATTCTAGGACTAGAAGTTTATACTAATTCAGTGTTATATGCTGTGAAATTTTCAGGTATCGATGGCACTGGGCTTGGCCTTATAACGCATCACCATAAACTTGGGAAGTATGTAAAAAACAGTTTCAATCATTGGTGTTATCATGTTTGACATTTGATTCTTATTTGTGTATCCCCTTTCATCAATGTTCAAAAAATCTGATTTGTGTATCCGTGTGTATGTGTTTTTTTTCTTATTAAATGAAGGATCTTTGATATGTGGTGCTTGCATATCCCACTGAAGGATAGAACATCATACATGGGTATAATTTTTTCTCCTCATTCTCTATTTCTTATTTGTTGTCTTATATTATAAATTTCGTAAGATTATTTCACTTAAAATTGTCTTGTTTTTCTTCTTCTTTATTTGTTTTAATTAATTTTGACTCGGTTTAATCTGATTGTAGTTTTGAGTTTCTGGTTTTAGATTTTATAAATTTTGAAACTCTAAAAGAAAATTTCATTTACTTTCACATTTTTTTGTAGAGAAATTAGAAGAAAAATAGTTTTAATACTATTAAAGAAGTAAATATTTTAACTTGATAGTGTAAAAATTTGTTTTGAACAGATTTTTAATTTTTGATTTTTATTTTCAATAATTACAAAATTTATAAAAACCAAAATTCAAAATTTAAAAAGGAAACCACACTTAACAGAGGTTTTGTCTTTTCTTGGTTAGGCCTACTGAAGCTAGTTGAAGAAACAGTTAGGTCAGCAAACTACACATCACCAAATAGACCAATATATCTTTTTGGTGAGTCTCTAGGAGGATGCATCGCATTAGATGTTGCGGCTCGGAACCCAGATATTGATCTCGTGCTGATTTTGGCCAATCCAGGTACCCTTTTCCTGATGGTAACCTGAACTGAACATTAAGACTTGTTGGGTAAAATTAATTACTAATATCTACTGAAATGGTTTTTTAATGATATATTTATCACATTGAAGAAGAGATTTGCTTGAAACCTAAGTAAATGATTTCTTTTGCAGATAATGTTAGTAAATTCTTTTTCTTTACCCATAAGATATCTGGTTGCTGTTCTTTCTGCAGCTACATCATTTAGCAGATCCCAATTACCTCCTCTGATACCTCTACTAGAAGTCATGCCCGACCACCTGTTACCAACTCTCAAGCACACACTGACCTCCTTGATAGGTTTGATGCTCTGTTCCTCAAACTGCCATTTCTTGCTTTTTCTTAAGATAGTAATCCATTTTCGAATTAGGCTAAGAATATATCAAGGTGCTTTTAGAAAACTGGTATTGATGTCATGCCACTGAAAACATGAAAAAACACTGGCATTCAAAGATACTCTTCTGTTATTTTAAACTTATAGTGGAGTTGGATGCTGCGCCACAAGCATCAAAATACATGAGCTTGTTGCAAATTCTGTTCTGTATACTCTTCTGTATTGATATGCGGATATGTACTCACACGTTTAGGTGAACCATTAAAGTTAGCTGTGGATAATTTCTTGAAGGGACTTCCTCTGCCACAAACAGATGCTCAGTTTTCGGAGGATATTGTTGCACTGCCAACTTATTTATCTGTAAGATTTAATACCGGAAGAATTATAGAAAAATAACATTTTGCCAATTAACTTTTCTAGCAATAGTTTATGCCTTCATTTTTTACTTTTGCAGTCTATGTTGTATTGTCTTTAACGTTGTATGAATACCACTGTGTTTCAGAGCATGATGAACATCACTTTAAATGTTACTGTTCATTGTTCATGGTTTTGCGGTGTTGTTCATGCACATGCTATGGTCTTTCTCATAAGATTCTGTTAATTTTGTGAGGGTAAAATTGATGCATTACATCACAGGTTCTGACTGATGTGTTACCTAGAGAAACACTTCTATGGAAGCTACATATGCTCAAATCTGCTTCATCATCTTCCAATTCACACCTCCATGCTGTAAAAGCCCAATCACTGATACTATGCAGGTCCAGAAATCATTATTGCATATCGTTTCATTTCAGTTATTGGTAACATATAGCTCATGAGTATGGTATCTGCCTTTGTGCAAACTTTGGATGATTTTGCTATCTAGTAGCTAATAAATATTAAGGAGAGGAGGTAAAAAACTGAAAATTGTTTTATCATGATGTTATTTTTCTGCTCAACTAGTATATGCATGAAATTAAATCTTTTTGGCTTTTGTTTTATAGGGTAGGTTCTACTGGGGCTAAGGTTAATGCCAATTTAGACAAAGATGAGCTATAATTTGTGAAAACATGCAGTCAAAATTGATGGAAAAGCTTGAGAATGCCAATCAAAGATGATAAATTAAATATAGATAGAAAACAACATGCTTAGGAAACTTAGATCTAGCACATTACAGCAATAGTAGAAAGATGATTTCATTGTAGGCTTTGTTTAAAATGGTTCCAAATTTTTAGAGTATAAAATAATAGTTTCTTGAGGACCTCTCTGTGATTCAGATGCATGGGATTCACACAAGCATAACAATTTCCTTTGCTTTCATGGATAAGTGGATGCTAAAACTATATAATTGCGTTATTACTTTAATGTTTTTTGTGTTGCACAAACAAATAATAGGAAAAGGCTTGATTGTGTCAACTACATGTGTCTGCATTAAGGAGCTGATTTAGAAATTATGAATGAATGTTGGACCAAGCAGTGTCCTAACCTCTGAAATACTGTATGTATGTCTTTATCTATGAATCAAAAGGCCCAAAGTCTGATGTAGCAGGTGCATCTAGCTAGGGCTATTAAAGTTTCCACTGCACCTGTTGTTTAAACCTGTGTCCCTACAATAGATATCAGGTTCATTTTATGTCATGTACCTTCTAGTAATTTCTCCATTCAACTTATGATTTCAAGTTATGATCCTATCATGGAGATGGGCTGAATTAACTGCTTTGTCTTTATAGTGGAAGGGATCAGTTGCTGCCCAGTCAAGAGGAAGGTCAAAGACTTTACAAAGCACTGCCAAAATGTGAGATTCGTAGGTTTGAGGAAAGCGGTCACTTTCTGTTCTTGGTAGGAATCCTGTACATAAATACACAACATAGTAGTTGCTTAACTTGCACTTCAATGATCTTTCATGTTTTGATTTTAACACTATTGTTTGTGTAACTCAGGATGATAATATTGATTTGGTAACAGTCCTCAAGGGTGCCAGTTTCTATCGTCGTGGGAAGTACTTTGACTATGTATCTGATTTCATACCTCCGACACCTTCTGAATTCGGGAAAATATTGGAATCATGCAGGTAACCTTTGTCATACTTGGCCAACTGGCAAACTTATTTCCAATATATATTTTGTTGTCAGCCGTAACTAGTGTTTATTAAGGGCCAAACAGGATTTGTATCTGAGGTGTCTACTGGTCATCAGTGAGAGATGAGCTGTAATTAGTCTCATTAATCTTTTGACTTTACTAGACAATGATTCTGAGCAGCCTGTTTCCTTGCTCATTATAGGAGTAATGTTACTGTCTTACAATATTTTCTTCATAGAATCCTACTCCTTAGCACTAGCCCTGTGATGTTCTCGACTTTGGAGGATGGAAAGGTGGTGAGGGGCCTTGCTGGAATGCCCTCAGAAGGACCAGTCTTGTTGGTTGGCTATCACATGTTACTGGGAAGTGAATTATATCCGTTAATCAGCCAGATTTTGATTGAGAGAAATATTCTTGTGCGGGGGTTGGCACATCCATTTGCATTTACGAGATTGAAAGATGGCATGCTCCCTGAGGTTTCTACATTTGACTCATATAGAATAATGGGTGCCGTTCCTGTGTCAGGACCCAATTTCTATAAACTTCTTTCTGCGAAGTCTCATATCCTACTCTATCCTGGAGGCATGCGTGAAGCTCTTCATAGGAAGGTAACATCTCAGTAGTTACTTTTCTATATATAGAAAATGTTTCAGCATTGATTTTATTCATGCTTCTAATACAAGTTTAAGGATTGCAAATTAAGGTTCACTAGCACAGGATTCTTCTACCTTTCAAGTTTCTATGCAGAATAAGGCAATTATATGGACTCCCTCAAATGTAAAATCCTAATATCAGTACTGTCAGACCTTATCATGTGTAGTAACCATCCTTTCTACTAACAATTTCCCTCACTTCTTATCTAGAGCTGATATTGTGAAAGAAATTTGTACCTACAACTGGCTAATTTGCTATGCGTACATTGTGCCATCAACTAACCCTAGTTTTAATCAAGTTAATACTTCTGGGAAACAGAAAGATTTCTTGTTTCTTTTGTGTTTTTGTATGTTCATTGCAAATCATGATTGTAGAACAATCTATCAGAATTCAAAGAGTTGAAAATAACTCTGGAATTCTTATCCCTTCTTACTTTTCTATAGGGTGAAGAATACAAGTTATTCTGGCCAGAACAGTCTGAGTTTGTGAGGATGGCAGCTAGATTTGGAGCCAAAATTGTACCTTTTGGTACCATTGGAGAAGATGATGTTGCTCAGGTAATTACTTTGAAATTTTTCTCTCCAAAAAAATTGTAACACCACTATCCAGCATAGCATGTTGGTTTGGATCATATATTGTATCAATGAAGCATCCATGCCAATTTTGATTGACAAATGAACATTGAAGCTCCTTAGCGAAATCAATATCTGCATCACCAGCTTCTTCAAAATCTAGTTTCGTCATGGTAAGTGGCATCTGGACATTCTTTTGAGGGCTTTTTGATCATAAGTATATGCATGTACTTTAATGGACGACACCTCGTGGAAAATCCCACATAAGTGAGTTAAGGGGAACTTATGGACTAAAATACGATATGGACTACACCTCTTGTTATTTGGTTTTAGGTGGGATGTTTACATGGAATCAGAGTTAATGGATTGTTAGCCTGTTTAGTGTTGTTGGCTGATGGGCCATGGTTGTAAGTACTAGGCCTGGATGTGAGGGGAAGGGTTAAGAGGAGAACATCATTGAGTTAAGGGGTTGACAAATACAATGTGGATTACTGTGCTTTCTGTGCTTTACCTTCAAGGCCCAATTTGTTACCTGTTCACCTGCTCTGCTTAATTTCTGATATTCTTTGTGACTAATTTTAAGTCAATCTCTCTTGGAAATATGACATAGACACAAATGCCGTTGAGTTTATTTTCCTTATGTTCTTTTTTTTTCTTGGGCTGATTAGTCATTGTTTCCAGGTGGTTTTTGATTACGATGACTTAATGAAAATTCCTTACTTTAGGTCTCAAATAGAAAAACTCACTGCAGAGGGTGGGAAACTGAGGTATTTGGAGTTGTTTTTCTGTTAAATCTTATATTTTTGCCCTTTTTCATTTGCCACTACTCTTCGCATGATTCTCTGTTTGCTTTTCCTCTAGAACTGATGCAAGTGGTGAGGTGGCAAACCAAGATGTACACCTTCCCGGAATTCTTCCTAAAGTTCCAGGCCGGTTCTATTATTATTTTGGAAAGCCAATTGAAACAGAAGGTATTTTGTTGGATAAACGATATCCTCAAACATCCATCAATTTTTATGTGAATTAACAATATTCTGGCCAGACACCATTGATATTTATACATGTCCAAGTTCATCATGTGCATTAATAATTAATAATTAATAATCCTCTCTTCTGAAATAATAGTTTTTGAAAATCAGTGACCGTTTATGACATCCACACCAGAAATTGCTGGATTTAAAAGTATATATTAGTTGGTAGACGTGAACAAATTTGAGTCACCAATTTACTATGATGCTGGTGATAGAAGGGCATGGACAGAAAATAGTTTGATCAGTCTAACTTTTATTAGGAGTACTGATTATTCAAATTGCTGTACTATTTATCCTTAATCCTGTGGTGATCATCTGAAATTATGGATTCTGTTTTGAAGGGAGGAAGCAGGAACTAAGAGACAGGGAGAAGTGTCATGAATTGTATTTACAAGTGAAGGCTGAGGTTGAGAAATGCCTTGCTTACTTGAAGGAAAAAAGAGAAAAAGATCCATACAGGAATATATTGCCTCGCCTGTTATACCAGGCTCGACATGGGTTCACATCTGAAGTTCCTTCCTTTGAGCCTTGATTATCCTGGAAGATTCAAGGTATATGACATATCTCCCATCTGAATCACCAGAGAAGCTCAGAACTTCACTGGAAGCGTGGAACAAAGTCAACATCCACATACTCAACGTTATATATAGACAGAATTTTACCTCAGGTACAAACTACAAAGTTCAGGTTCTTCATAGGGCAAGTGGATTTTACTCTTGATAAAGGGAATTTCATATAGAAGGCCCTCACCCAAGTCAGATTACTTTTACAGGAATTGTTCCTGTCTCCCTATTTATTATTGTAGGAGAACTGGGGAATAGAAAACTGAGTCTGAAATAAGATTGAAAGAAACCTCCATTTACACAAGCTATTTGATCTGTTTTAGGATTGCTTTCTCCCATCAGAATTGACGTACAATTCTTTATTTTCTTCTGCATGTACAGATGATAAAGAATGAAATCAAAATCCCTTTCCCATTTCTTCTTTTTTTCCTGTTCAACTGTAGTCTCTGGCATGAAGTTAGGTCTGCATGTTTAATTGCTGAGACTCTTGCCAATCCAAAATGTTTTTGGTTATTTCCACCTCTATTTTCATTTGATTTATAACCTGTGATTTGCCTTCGTTTGGTAGGAGGGAATGAAATGGAATAGAAAATGTTTCTTGTTAGAAGGAAGGGGAAATGTAGAAGAGAAGGAAGGAAACGAGGCAAAAAAAAAGAAAAGAAAAGAAAAGATGGGAAATGCACACATACCTTATTGCTTAAATAAAATGAACAAAAATGGAAGGACAATTCAATTTAAAAGGAATTGGCTTGGTGATAGAATCTGTCCTCATCCCTTTAATTTCTTCTGAGATTCAAATAAATTAAGGTGTCTCATTACTCTCCCATCAGCATTGTCTGCTTCACAAACCATTTTCTGATCATCCTGCTTTTAAACATCTCCACACCATCATTGCCTTAGCAACAACAGCTGCTCGTCGTCCAGCTTGACACCATGTCGATGTCGTTCTCCGGAATGCAGGAGCAAATTCTGTGTTGTTCCGCTTCATCCATGAAGCCTGTAGCAACCACGACCCCCTATAAAAGCGTCCTTGGGAAGAAGGAAGAAGCTGAGACGAGAGATTCAACCTTTACGCGAATCTGGAGGAATTCTTCCGTGCCTAGGAAGTGGTTATAATAGATTTCTTTCAAGAGTGCCAGGATTTGATCCGATCGGACGGTGGTTCTCTCCTCTGCACGTGCTCCGGATTGTCCTTTCCTCCTCTTTTTGCCTGGTTCGTTTCTTTCTTCTTTTTCTCACAAACATCTCTTCTACATCTAATTACTCTTACCCAATTCCGTTAACCATTTTTATAAATGGATACTTTTCCTTTGTCGTTAGATGAAAAGTGAAAAAGCTACTGCTCAACCAAGCTTCAAGCTTTTTATCCAATTTGTGTCATTATCATCGTTGGATTGGAGAATTGATAAAGTTTTCCTTTTTCTACATTTTTTGTTTATTCTAAGAATAGAAATTTATAATTAACTGTTCTACTACATTGTGGAATTTTTTAGGAATAGATAGGCACGGGACTTGGCCTTATAAATCATCACCATAAACTTGGGAAGTATGTTTTTAATCATCTTCTATCATTTTTGAATCTGATTTTTGATTTTTATCCTTCAAATGAAGGATCTTTGATATCTGGTGCTTGCATATTGCAGTGAAGGATAGAACATCATATATGAGTTCTCTTTTTTTTTTTTTCTTTGGGTTTCCTTATATATGTTGCACACTGGCTACGCATGAAAAGTAATAATTTGTAAGGTTATTTTGCGTAATTTTGTTTTCTTTTTCTTATCCCCCAATTCTCTGTTGTTGGCAAGTTTCTAGGAGGAAGCATTGCTCTAGACATTGCAGCTCGTGATATTGATCTTTTGCTGATTTTGGTTAATCCAGGTGCCTAGTTGATATTATGTTCCTCTTCATGGCCTTTTTCAATCAATTTTTGGATTCATCATACATGTAATCCCTTTTGCTGACATGAGTGATTGTAGAACCTTAATATTAACAATTGTTGAATGATTGTAATAAACAACTATTGACAATATGTTTTAATGACTAATGGGTGAAGTTGTTGGCATTTGGCAAAAGATTGCTTTAGACATTGCTGCGTTAACGCCACTGTACTTTGGAGCATGATGAACAATAAAATCTCTTTTAATGTTGATTGTTCGCAGATTCGTGTTGAGGCTCATGCTACAACCTTTCTCATAATATCTGGTATCAACTTGTGAAGGAAAAAAAATTGATGATTTACATCACAGGTTCTGGTTGACATGACACCTAGAGAAACGTATCTCTGGAAGCTACAAGTGTTCAAAACTGCTTCTACATTCTGCCAATTCACACCTGCATGCAGTAAAAGCTCAATCACTGATACTTGGCAGGTCCATCAATCATTGGTGCAAACCATTTCATTTCAGTTGTTATTTTTAACCTTAATCTTATATATTATAATTATTTTTTGGGCCTTTGTGCAAACTTTAATTGTCATGTTCTCTAGTAGCTAATTAATTTGCATGCATGTGGTGAAAATAAGGAAATCAAATATTTGTTGCATCACATTATTATTTTTCTGCTCAACTAGTATATGGATAAATTATCCTTTGGGAATCAGAGATAATAGATTGAAAATGGTTAGCAAACTGCCAACCAGTAGATTGCTGAGATGATAATGATGTTTTTTAGAGTTTATTTATATACGTCTCAATTTTTGGAATATAAAATCGTAGTTACTGGTTACATTTTTGTGATTCAGATGCATGCACTTCACATCTGTGTAACAAATTATTCCCTTTAAGTTAGCACCAGCTAAAACTATAAAATTGAGGTTACTTCTTTAGTGTTTTCAGTAGCACGAATAGATAATAATATGTAGGAGAAAGGCTTAAGTATGTCTTCCATGTGTATCTGCATTAATTAAGTTGTTTTGATTCAGAAACTGTAAATGAATGTTGGACCAAGTAGTGTCCTAATTAACCTCTGAAATACTG